TTTCTTTTCCACTACCTTTGGAGGGTGGTAGGTTAAAGTGTTTAAGAACCACATTAAAAATAAGTTTTGAAAAAATTAATTTCCAAACCATCTTTCCTGAATGGCTTAAAACCTAAAAGCCTCAGGCAGCCTGGGAACTTCCTGCAGAAGAGTTGATATCACAGGGCAGTTAAAACCAGGGAAGTTCTGGGCCTGGGGTCAGCATATCATGAGAACTCCTGGAAAGAATGGTGTGACAAGGACTTCACCAAAGTTTAAAAGCTTAGAAAAGCAGATTATAGGTCTGGAGATAAAAATCTACATAAAATTCTCATTTTTGTAAAAAAAAAAGGCCTTTAAAGGCCTAAGAACCCCGAGCCCCAACATGGCTTCCACTCACAGAGAGACTCTGCCATTCACTGTTCTGATTAAAGGACAACCTTGCTCTTGTATGCTAGTCTCCTCTTCCTTTTATTTCCATGTCACCTCCGTTGATCCTAAATCAAATAAAATTGCCAGTACATTGAACAGCAAACAGAAACCAATGTGGTTTTAGCCTTCAGGAAGCATACTTTGTGAGGAAATGAGACCAGTCACTCAAATCCAGAATGTCCATCCTAAATGCTGTGAGCCCAGGGAGATGGCTCAGTAGGGCAGGGCTCTTGCTGCCAAGCCTGATGACGAGTTTGACCCCCAAGATCCACATAATGGAAGGAAGAGAAGTGAGTCCTGTCTTCTACCTTGTACAAACAGGCCCTGGCACATGTGCAGACACACACACACACACACACACACACACACACACACATGGACACACACAAGCACCTGAAAGAATAAAAATATCAAAATGCCATAGGATCAACTAGCAGGTGGGACCTGCCTAAGCAGCAAATCTGAATTCTCAGCTTCCTGTCAGCCTAGCCCATGCTTTTGCCCTGCTGCCTGCGACCCTTCCCACTCCAGCTTCCTTCCTTCCTTCCTTCCTTCCTTCCTTCCTTCCTTCCTTCCTTCCTTCCTTCCTTCCCACTCTCCTTTTCCAGCATCAGACCTGCATCCAGACCTCAATCTTCTGTTTGGACTTCCTTGTGTTCCTCTTTATACTTCCCACTCTTCCCAGCAAACACCTGCACTCTTCTTTCTGTCTCCTAGCTGGCTGTGGGAGAACCACACAGACACATTGATGGCCTAACACTGACTGGAGCCCTGGAAGGATTTTGGAGACCATCGATTCTACACAATGTGAGCGGAGGTACCAGATGGGCAAAGAACCACCATGTCTCAACTATTCTACTTTTATGATGTTGTGCTCAATACCAAGTTATCAGTCATATCTATCTTTCTCATGAGTGTCTGGTCTATAAAGCCTTGCTGCAGGGATTTACCCCACCCCCACCCCCGCCACATCCTCTGAGTGTAGTTCAGTGCTGGAGTTCTTTCTCTAAAAAATTACTGGCTCTTAAAAGATATCAGGAAGCCAAAAGTAAAATCATCTTAAAGATATAAATAGTAAATTATACTGGAATCATCAAGTGTGAATAAAATAATCTGAGTCTTAAAAGTGTTGTCTGGCAGATGGTCTTCCCTTCCCTTCAGTCGCTAAGAGAAGAATCAGGGCCATTTTGCAGTGAAAACTACCTAGCACACCAAAGGCATTCTCATCCCGAGTCCAGCCTCTGAGTGAGGTGCCCTTGGAGAGCAGGAGGGTGGCACTGGCACTGAGATCCATCACCAGCAGCTTGACTGAGTGATAGGATCACCTGTATAGACAAAGCTCTTGCGAACTCCTGAGCCTTGACTAGTTGAGCAGAAACACTAGCTCACTAGGATGTCACATGTGCAAGGACTCTAGGTCCCATTAGGAAGCTTGAACTAAAAAGCAAAAAGAATAGATTTGGGCTATATAAAATAATTAAAAATATTTTTAAAAATTAATATATATTTTAATGTGAAATATGTATGTATATATTTATGTATGTATATGTATGTATATGTATGTATATGTATGTATATGTATGATTATGTATGTATATGTATGTATGTGTGTATGTATGTATGTATGTATGCATGTGTTTATGTATGTATGTGTGCATGCATCTATTTTATTGGAGTTGGTGCACAGGCCCTGGCTCAGCATATTTAAGGTCCTGGTTTCAATTTCAGGAACATACAAGCATTTTTCTGAGTTTTCTCATTAAAGGATAAATTATTAAAATTCTTGCCAAGGGCCAATGAGGCAGCTCTGTGGGTAAAGGCTCTTGCTTATGAAAGCCTGGGTACCTGAAATTGATCCCCAGAACCTATATAAAGGTACAAGAAGAGAACTGCTCAATATGGTGAACTAAATACATTGGAGTCTTTATGTTGAGAGAGATCAGGAGGGAAAAGAGTAGTGTTGTTACTGTCAACAAAAATTTGTTACTACCAAGCATTTTAAGATTTATTAATTTATTTTATGTATAAGACAGCACTGTAGCTGTCTTCAGACACACGAGAAGAGATTACATTACAGATTGTTATGAGCCACTATGTGGTTACTGGAATTTGAACTCAGAACCTCTAGAACAATCAGTGGTCTTAACCACTAAGCTATCTCTCCAGCCCCTCCAATAATTATCTTTTAAATGTTATATTGTTAAATTTCATTTTTTTTGGGCATGGTGACCCATACCATTAATCCCAGCACTAGGGAGGCAGAAAAAAGGTCTCTGTGAATTCAAGGCCAGCATGATCTACAGAGTAAGTTCCAGGACATCCAGGACCCTGTCTCAAACAAACAAAAAAAAACTGTGTATATGTATATACATGTGCACATACATACATACATACATACATACATATGGTTGTCTGCATCTATGTATGTGCACCACATATATGTCTGTTGCCTGTGGAGACCAGAAGAAAGCATCAGATTAACCTTATCTTGTCTCAGGATCTTACATACTGGCATAGCAGATATGCACCTCTGTATTGTGACCTTTGCCTCCCCTGTACCTGTGGTGAGATTTTGGTTTTTTAAGATTTCTTTCATCATTTTTTGTTCTTCACATCTATGTGTTTGGCAGCTTCAGTGACCACAGAGCCTCATAGCTCACATGTCTCTCTCTGAACAGTCCTCCTGAAGTCATGGTTCCAATGGAAACAGGCTATATATGTTCAGCAGGCTTGTGCAGAGGTAAGGGTTTTCAGGAGAAGGGACTTGGGCTATTGCCCCCTCCCCACACAGAGAGAGCACAAGGCATTCAGGCAGTAGTGTTTGCCTTAGGAGATCATGAATGACTAGAACCAGACACCAAGAATAGAAGCCAGTGCAGGAACTGTTCACCCACAGCAGAAATGGTGGGCAGGACTGCAGTTCACAATCTGGGGCTCCTGAGAAAGCAGGCCATCAGGAACCCAGCTCAGGACTTGCTTTAAAGGGACTGGAAACTGAATGAAATCTTCTAGATGTTCTGCTCTGTATTACTCCTGAACCAGAGGCTCCTGCTTAGCATGTGCATGTTGTCCAGTAACAGCTGAATTTTGGACCTAGATCCACTCATACTGGAAGCACAGATAACTCTGACAAACTCTTCATCAACATCGTATGTGTCTTGTACACCCCCCAGCCCAGTGCTGTCTGCCCTACCACTTACTCAGTAGCTCCAAGGATAGGGTTCAAGCAGCTTCTGGGCAGCTTTGCTGAGGTGCAGCCTGAAGAACCTCACTTGGGTCTGTAGTGTGGAGCTGCCTGTTCTCCATCCAAGAGACAGGATCTATGTGTGACTGATGCTTGTGTAAACTAAGAATGTGGGGACAGATGCCCTCCATGTTGTCTTTTTGAATGGGTGATGATAGGCAAGTGCTTCCTATTTTTTCTCCATGGTGCAGATGCTTTTGAGATGTATTTCCCAGGCTCCCTCAGAGATTCATGCCCCTGTAGTGCTCTTTCCCTTGTACTGTTCTCCCCAAGAAGGCATCCAAGTACTGGGTCTCCCTCCTTCCCTGTTCTGTATTCCTGCTTCTCAGAGTCCTATTCACAGATAAAGTATGTAACTGTATAGAAGCTGTGTGCTTAGGCCGTTTCCACGGAGATCCACTAGACAGGTGCAATTCATGGTCAATATTAAGCAGATGCCTACTACACAGTACTAGCTAAATCTAAATCCCAAACCACTGCTACAATTAGCTTACAGAAGAGTTGCATGTACTGTGTTCAGGTAGATCAGCCAGGGTTTTCTGAAAGAACAGAAATTATAGAACGAACTCATATATACTAAAAGGGTAGTTACTAGAGTCGTTTAGAGGCTGTGGTCTGAGTTATTAAACAATGGCTGTCTCCTGATGGAAAGGCTAACAATCCAGGAGTTATTCATTCCACAAAACTAGATGTCTCAGCAGATTCATCTGGTGTTGGAGTCCCAAAGAGGTCCTAGAGAACTGTCAGTTTTTAGTACATGTTGTAATCCAGATGTGGGTTCTAACAACCAGTGCAGGAATGGGTTAGGAACAGGACAGTCGAACTAGCTAGTGAGAGTGAGTGCAAAGAGGCAGAAAGTAAAAACTTACCTTCTTCCCTGTGAGCTGTCACCAGAAGGTATGGACTAGACTAAGGTTGTGTTTTCTGACCTTCAATGATTATGAATTTAAAATAGATCTTCCACAACAAATAATCTAAGCATAATCTAATAACAATCCCTCATGAGTGTGGCTAGATGCTTGGGTTTTAGTTAATTCCAGATGTCATCAAGTTGACAGTCAAGATTAGGTATTACAAAGGAGCCTATCCAATTCTAGGAATAAAGAATGTAGTCAGTCCTATTTTTTTAAAATCTGTTTATTAAAACCATTTCATTGTTCAAGGCACTTCAGTATCTTTCACAATATATGGGCTTTTTTTTTTTTGGCTGTTATTTGTTTTGTATTTTAGGTGGGTGAAGCGTGTGCTTTCGGAGCACCATGGCAACATAATCAGAAGAGAAGACAATCACACTGAACACAAAATACCCACTGATGTGACATGACTGCAGCCAGCAACTCTGAGAGACTATGAACACAATTTACATTTCTTTCTTGTAATTTTCCTCATGATTACACATCGTAAAAGGAAGAAGCATAGTGTTATTATTTTTGGCACTCAGAGCAGCTCTAGTGGCTAAGACTGGGAAGGCCTTGTATGGTGGCAACTGCACACCAGCCAGAGTGACTCTGGGCTGGGAAACACAGGCAGTTCCCACGTTTCTGCTAAAGGACAAATAGCTTGAGACACAACAGCAGATGACAAACAAACAACCCCCCCACCATGACAGTGCTGGGAGAAGGAAGGGACACTCTGTTATCCATACATGTTCTTCAAGACACAGATAAGTGATTGACACCCAGAATTCTGGTTTATACAACAGTAGATTTCTCACAGGACCCTGAGCAGACACACAGTACAGCTGGCTGTCGGACTGAGCAGTCACAGTCCACACTGTCTGCTTTGTGTACCAGCTTCCACCTTAGTTTCCTTTAGGGTTCCCTCTGTCTTGTGTTATGTCATGAGTTAAGAGCATTGTACCCTGCCCTAGAGCCACATTTATTCCTTTTCCGCTAAGTTCTTCAGTTAGGGAAAGGAGGGAAAACAGACCTGCAGTTCTCTCTGTGACCTTATCGGATCTTACAAAATAACAAAGCATGTCTAGCAGATGTTTCTCATAGTCTTCCAAGTCCCAGCTGTTCAAGAGACTCATTAACTTCTTTGGAAGGCCCAAGTCCACCACTGTGACGGATGTGCAAGCTGTGTGTAGTTAGCCTTTGGGGCTGGAGGAAGGTTGCTCTTCAGGACAGATGCTTGTTAGACACAAGGTCAATAAAACAGAAAGCCCTTGGTCACTGATAGTATTTCTGATAACATGCAGGTTTTCAGTTCAGTTTTTTCAGCTTCTGGACCAGAAACCTTTAGGTTTGGGGCACTTTTCCTTTAGACTCTTGTGGGGACACTTTTCCTTTAGACGTTCGTGAGGAACCTTTCTTGCTTAGTGATTGCGTTTGTTTTATTCTATTAAAAGAAGAAAAACAAACGTTACTTACAAATCTTATAAAGATACCCATCAGTTGCAAAACAAGCAAGTCAGATTGGGGGTGGGGGAGACTACCTGGTGGAGTCTGAAGTTTCCTGTAGTCTTTGCACTAAACCAGAGCTTCTGCTGTCATGGGTGTGCACATGGTTATACAGGATCAAACCATTGTTAACACCATGGTTAAAGGAATCCAGAGATTTGTGAGACTCAGTATGAAGAGAGCACTGCTTCAAAGGCTTGTGGGCTTAAGGCTTGGCCAGGATCTGACCCAATATACCTGTAGTGTGGGCAGTGAGGTCTCTTACTTACCTTTTGACCTTTTGCATTTCGTCAATGGTGTCTGGGAGAGAAACCCCAGAGCTCTCTGGGAAGAAGAAAGTGATGATAGCTGTCAGGATGGTCAGACTTCCCATGAGGATATAAGGCAGGTGGCGGTTATAGGAACCTGTGGTCAAGCAGAGGACCCAGGTTACAGTGAGATTTGGTCTTAGTTGGGCCCTTTATTCTCTCAGGACTCTATATAGTGGTTACTGTCTGTCCTGTTGGTTTCAGGGCTTCCCGAGTGAAGTCTGGCATCTACAGAGTCAGAACTCAGACCAGGACCATATGTGCCCAGAGGTCCAGCAATGTTTACACTGGATAATGGAAAGGTACAGGAGACAGGACAGCTGCAGGGTTTACAAGCAACACAAGGTGTTTGTCCAGGACAGGAACAACTTTCTAACTCTGCAGATGCGTAACAGTCTGATTTGCACCTAGGACAGATTAGACTAGGTGCTGTTAGAGACATGTAGCATGCTTACAAAGTATTTGCTACTCTCTGGACACTGGCAAGTCCTCTCCTGAGCTAGAGATATGCAGAGGAGGAGCAGCTGCCAGGAGGGAGCACTTCTCTGAACCAAAGAAATTGGTGTCCTGCTATATAAAAGGTCAAAAGGCAGATGATCTCTACAGGGCATAAAACATCAGGTCAAGTGTGCCATGAAGGCCTATAAGCCACCTAGCCAGCAGGCTGAGGCAAGAGGAGCAAAAGTTCAAGGGCTGCTGTGGCCACAGAGCAAGTTCAAGCCTAGCTCATACAACTTAGTGAGCTACTGTCTTGAAAAGTAAACTGAGGGCCAGAGAGATGGCTCAGCTGGTTAAAATACTTGCTGCTAAGCCTGGAGACTGGAGTTCCATCCCCAGGATCTACATGGTAGAAGGAAAGAACTGACTCCCTAAATTGTTCTCTGACCTCAACGGATACACTGAATGAATGAAGTGTTTAAGTTATAGCAACTGTCTGTCTGTCAGACCTCTTGAATGGACAGGATTCTCTTCATGTTCCTAACTCTAAGAAAGATTCCTCCAGTAAAGTACACTGCCTCCCTAAAGCATTTCTTCAGATGAAGAAATTGTACTTTATGATGGAGGGTCTGGGGAGACTGAAATAGAAACTCCCAGACTTTCTCATTTCCATCTAGCTGCTCTGTGAGTTACTTCACATTTGCAAATGAGTGCTTCCTCTACACTACACCTGGAAAGGAACCTTCTTGAGTCAGGGACCCAGTATCTGAAGCATCCTGCTAACTACAGGTGCTTGTTCTCCAGCTCACAGTAAGGCTACTTAGAGCTTCTGTCCCAACACTCCAGTGCACCATGGTACTTACGAAGGTAAGCAAAGTAGGGAGACAGGATGGTGACAAGGCGGGATGCTGTGGAGCTGACTCCCACACCCATGTTTCTGACCACAGTGGGGTACAGCTCAGCTGTGTACACATAGACCATGGAATAGGCAGAGGTGATTCCAAACTTGCCCACCATCACCAGGACAGTAGACAAATAATATAATTCTGGAAAGACAAATAAAGTTAGTACAGTCAAGAGGGTCAGTGTAAGGGTTACCCCTGAGGAGTTTTCTTTCCTTTTCTCCCTGACTTGAGGTGGAAAGAGTTGGTTAGTTTCTGTAACTTTCCATCAGAAGGAAACACCATGGCTAAGATTTCTCAAAGGAGATTAGTAAAGGAGAAAGGGCACTTCATATATGTAAGGGTACATGTTCCTCAACCCAGAGGCCCAGAGGGTAAGCACCCTATCAGCCCAGCCCACGGCCTTCCGGAAGTCATCCTGTGTTAGGATGAGCTGCTCCACCTGAACCTCATACTGAGGGCACTGTGGAATTAACCAAGGACTTGTATGTGAATGGGGAGCTCAGTTCTAACTCAGGTCCTGCTTGCAGTCTACTCAAGAAGTTCATAGATCTGGGCTTTTGAGGTGGCTCAGTGGGCAACAGAGCTTTCAGCCAAGCCTGAAAACTTAGGTTTGATCCCCAGGATCCATACACTGGAAGGGGAAAACCAAAACATCTCACTTCCTGCAAGTTGTTCTCTGACCTCTACATGTGTGCTGGAAACATGTCTCCCTTCTCCAAGTAAAGTAAAATCATTGAAAAAGAAAAAAACAAACAACAACTATAAACCTTGGGGATGAGCCTCCAATTGACTTGACTGCCTAATGAGTATAACTAAGTGTCCCATAGAGCACTCTGAGCTCAAGTGAGAGCAACTCCAGCCAGTCCCAGGTTCCTTCTGCCACATAATGGCGTATTCCTGTGCAGGGATGGGTGTCTCAGTATCACAGTCCCCCAAGTAATGACCAGAGGTTTCCAAACCACAGGTGCATTCTGGCAAATAATGGACAAGTAAAGCTCATCATCTGGTCAAGAAGAACTCTGCTCTCTAGTGGGTACCAAGGCAGTTTTACCAGCTAAGTCCTGACTAGAGCCTCTGAGACCTTTCTTTTCTTTCTTTTTATTGTTTTTATGTTTGTTTTTTGTTTTCATTTTTCTTAAAATCCTGAATCATGCTGAGCTCATTCCCATTAGAACATCAGAGCAATAATATAGCCCAGGTTGATGTCAGATTCCCCAAATGGCCAAGGATGACCTTGAACTTCTGAATCTCCTGCATCTTCTTCTTGTCCTAGGTTTACAGGTGTGACCCATTGTGCCTTGCTCTGTCTTCCCTATCAGATCTTCTGAAATGTTCTCTCTGACACTCTCATGGTGTTCTGTTAACGCATGTAAATTGTACTGAATGCCTCTTGTTCAGGGTGCTACCCATGACTACTCTTTAGATGAGCTGAATTTCCTTTATTTGTGTTCACAGATGGTAATAACATCTTGAAGTACCAGCATCTAACTAGTCTTCTCCAGTAGAAACAGACTCCCTGCAGACCCACTCCAGCCATTCCTTGAATAAGTAATAAGATAGAACTAGTAAGATGACTTTCTTTTCTCTTTATTCCAGAGAGGAAAATATATATGAATATATTAACCTGAGCCTAGGGCTTAATTAATCAACAGCCCGATGCTTTCTTCCCACTGAACAAAGCCCAGGCCATGAAGAACGCACTAGTTTTGTGAAGCCATCTCTTGATTTTTAAGTGAGCATTGTATACATGCAGCACGTGTGTAATGGTCTTTACTTTATTTACTTCATTAAGAGCCTGGTTCAAGAAAGGGAAACACAGAAGACACAGATCTGTAAACAAATATTGGTCCATACCTGAAGGCACCAGTGGCAGTAACAGAAAGACACTGCCACCCAGAAAGAGGGAACCAGCCATGGAATATCGCCGGGACACATGTTGCAGCAAGAGCCAGGCCATCACATAGGCTGGGACTTCAACAGCCGCCAGCAGGAAGCAGTTCACATAGATGTTGCCATTCAAGTTTGGAGTATCAAAAGAAAGTCCGAAATAGCCCAGTGATATGGTCAGCCTGCAACAGGGTACAGAAGAGAGCTGGAGAAGCAACAACCATCTCTGCAGACCCACACACCTTGACTAACTTTCATCTTGAGAAGTTCTGAACTGCTCTTGATGCAGGGAATGGGAGGGCAGTTGTAGATTCCACCCTGTGCTTTACTTCATAGCACAAAAGTTAAGTTTCCTTGTGTAGATCATTTCCTGACTTATACCTCAGAACATCCCATAAAGAAAGTGTCTCAGCAAAATGATTCATATAATTCACAATGATTTAATCACCAGAGAGTACCAATTTGCATTTCAACATTAGAATCTTACACTGAACATTGGGTTTACAAAAACCCAATTTCCCAAACGTGTTGGCAAACCTCTATCTTTCGAACACACACATTACAGTTATCAAGTAGCAACGAGAGTACTTTATGGTCAGGATTTACTACAACATGAAGAACAGTGTTAAAGTTTCACAGCACTGGGATGGCTGAGAACCACTGGTCTAGGCACATCCCAGAAGGGCCCTATCTTGCTTTCATGTTGTCAAAAAGCTCTTAATAGTCTCAGGAACATAAGGCATAAAGTGTCTTAACTGAGACCCTTCTTTAAACCCCCAACTGTCCCAGCCAGAGAGTGTGTGTCATCAACAGAAAACATTTTTAGCTGGACAGTGGTGGCGCACGCCTTTAATCCCAGCACTTGGGAGGCAGAGGCAGGCAGATTTCTGAGTTCGAGGCCAGCCTGGTCTACAGAGAGAGTTCCAGGACAGCCAGGGCTATACAGAGAAACCCTGTCTCAAAAAACCAAAAAAAAAAAAAAAAAAAAAAGAATGAAAACATTTTTAAAAGGAACAGCCAGGCATGGGGTGGGGGGCTGTGTAGACTGTAAATGACAATGTGGCTCCAATGTAGGGTCACTTCCTCTGTCCACGAGCACAGTAGAATTGCTGTTAGCTTCTTCCTGGCTATTTACCACAGATAACCCACTGAGGGAGGGGACATGGGACAGGACAACCAAGGAAGGACTTGTGGGATTCCCTTGTGGGATCCCTAGATCTCAAGCAGCCTCCACGATCATTTTCTCCCTTTCTGGGTATCCATTACATTAAAAACTGTTATGTCCCTTTGGCTGCCATCCAATACAAGGAAGAATCCTTTATCATGTGATGACAGAGGCTTCAGCTCTGGTCTGAAGCATGTCTGTAGACAAGAGTCCTGAGAGTGGGTACGGTTCAGGCAGACCTCACTTACGCACCACAGGACTATGGACATGATGGTGAGGATCCTGATATTCCATGTTCGGACCAGATCGTAAATGTGGTGTGACTGAGACTTCTTGGGAGTTCCATCTTGTAACGTATTGGTCTAGGAAGGAGAACAAGCTGAAGGCGTGCCTCATACAGACACGCACCTAGCACCCATCACTTTCACTATTTACTTCTCAAGAGTTAGGGAGCATTCTAAGGTTCTTCCTTGAAAAGATAGAAGTTCAGTGACTCAAGGGGATGTCCAAGGCCCCTGCAGGGTTAGTCAAGGACAAACTGGAATGAAAGACAATGAGGGATAAAGAGAGTTGCACAGCAATAGTAGAAGGGCAAGCAGACAGCCACCTCACTTCATTACGCTGCCCTTCCTCACTGGCCACCTCCTATGGAGGCTTTTGGGAATCCCTATGGCAGGCTGACTCCCTGCTTTCAGTCAGAGAAAAATAAGGCAGTGTATTTTACTGAACTGACATTTAAATGGAATGAATATTTGGGGTCCTCATACCATACAGTTACTGGTCTTCTTCCAGAAAAAAAAATCCAACTGAAAACAGGAAAACTGACCTATCCTTCACCCAGAGTAACTTCTATGAGATTCAGCGAGCCAAGGCTGTCATGTCTAAACACACTGTTACTGCTTTCTTAGTTAACCCAGCTCAGCAGTTCAGCAAACTGTCAACTTGGGACTCAAATCCTCTGAAACACCCTCATTTCCTCAGTGATGCCAATGAGGCTTACAGGTTCACATAAACCTCTATCCCTTACTCAAATGCCATCAAAGCAACCTGACTTAAAATGTCCTCAGTCACATTCTAGTCCTCACTTCTTTGCTTTAAAGCCCTTCTAGGACATGCTGCTCCTGGGCTACCATTTAAGGACTCTTGGTAGCTATCAGCATCTTGGCTTCCTATAACCAAACCCCAAGTGCTCATAAGAACAGAGCATCTCAAACATGTTTGTCGCCTACACTGCAAGAAATTCCACATGGTCTATGAGAAAATGTAAAGAGAAAAGACCTGGATGGAGCATGATGAGTCAAGCCTGTCAGACACAGAATACTGCTGAGCACAAATCTACAGTGTTCTATCTTCAGACGGCAGTCCCCGAGGCATAAGAAATAAGGACTTCCCAAAATGCTAAAGTTGAAGGAAGCCTCTTTCCCATGAAGGGTGTTTACTATTAAAAAGTGATGGGTAAGCCAGACTTGGTGGCATATCTCTTTAATTTCAGCTCTTGAGAGGCAGATGAGTCAGATTATTCTTGGAGATAAATCTGGTCTACACAGAGATTTCCAGACCAGTCAGGGTTACTATAGTAAGAATCTATGTTAAAAAAGCAAGGAAGGAGGCAAGCAAGGAGGTAAGCAAGCAAGCCATGTTTAAAAATTATGATGACTTGAATGGGAAATAAAGGAAGCATGGCAAAAAAAAAAAAAAATCCTGGGCAGTTGGAATCCATTCCTCTCATCCTCTGAGGTTTGTGTGTATTTATGTTCATGAGTATATATGTGTATGCACCATATGAATGTATGTGTGTGTGTGTGTGTGTGTAGGCTACAGGTTGAACTGGGATGTCACCACCAATCACTTTTCTAGCTTATCTTTGAGACAGGGTCTCTCATTGATTGGTTGTTTGTCTGACCAGTAAGCCCCAGGGATCTTTCTGTCTTAGCTTCCCCAGTATTAGGATTACAGGCACACTCAACCATGCCTGGCTTTTTAGTCTGTTGTTGGGGATCTGAACTCGGGCCCTGATGCTTGTGTGACAAGCACTTTACAGATGAAGTCATCTCTAGTCCTCCAGCCCTTGCCTCGGCGGGGGGCACTGCTTGGGCAGGGTAAGGGCTAAGACCCTGTGAACTGTGCTGTAGGCTGCCGACCTAAAATGGGCAGTGTGAGCCTGCCCAGCAGCTTGCACATGGTATTTACCTCATTTGGATCGAAGATAGTGGAAGGTGCAACAATCCCATTAACTTTGGCAGCTTTTCGGATGATCACTTGTGCCTCTTTAATCCGGCCTTGAGAGATGAGCCATCGGGGGGACTCAGGGATGAACCTGGAAGGACAATACAATCTAGTGAGGCCTCCTGTTCACTTGCTCTCCAGAGGCTGGACATGGCTCAACTATATATGGCAAATGAGGTTTCAGACAGAGAGGCAGGTGTGTGGAATGTCCAGTGTTCATAAGACAGAAATAGAGATGGCCCAGTAACTACCTAAGCTATGAGCTCTGCTGAACACTGACTGGAGTGAGCAAACCCGAAGCATCCTCCTGTACATCTCAAGGGGATCCCCACTCTGGCTGGCACCTGCATGTCTGCAATGGTGGTGCCCCCTTCTGGGCTTGAAGGAGACAGGTATGAGATGGGCCCCTCATTCCTGGTTTCTGCTGAGTCAGGCCCACCCAGATCCTGCTATCCTATCTTCTACTCTGTCCCTGAGAGGCACGGGATCTTCTTCAGGGATCACTTAACATCCAGTTCTTCCTCACTCCACCTCTGATTTACTCAATAGACTTGTCAGTCTCTCTACACAAAACAGCATTGTTATCTAGGACAGACACTGGTGGCTATTTTCCTTATCCTTGTGACCAGGCAGCCCTCTCTCCTCTCTATTAATCAGGAACCATGCTACATTGTTAGTTGTGCTCCCATTCTTCTCCAGGATGCTCTCCACTGTGCAAGAGATGAGGAGCTCACCTTAGTCTTGTCTAGTCTTAGGAGCAATTCCTGCCAGGATCCATTCTTGGCCTCGAATAGCTTTTGGGTTTTTTTTTTTGTTGTTGTTGTCGTCATTTTTGTTTTTTGTTTTTCGAGACAGGGTTTCTCTGTATGGCCCTGGCTGTCCTAGAACTCACTCTGTAGACCAGGCTGGCCTCGACTGGAATAGCTTTTGCTTTACCTGTCCAATCTCCCCCTGTTGGCAGCACAGCTGGAGCCTGCCTTCCTCTGCATAGCCACTCAAGGAAGCTCAATTTGGAGCTCTCCCTCTCTTTACTTCCCAACCCCCTGGTCTGGGGCCTCAGCATCAAGCAGCTACAGTTCAGGTCTTGCTGGGATCTGAGAACTTCCCAGAGGTTTGTCTGGTCTCTATCTGCTTGCAGCAAATTCTTAGTTCAACCTAGAACAGGGCAGAAGAGATTCCCACTTATGTCTTGGGATTCTGTGTTGTTTTGGCTTTTCTGAGTATGGAAAGATTTTATAAATTGACTTGTAAATAATATGCACCCCTTTTTTCTGGGATCTAGAATTGGAATTTGGGGGTTACTGCTGCCCTCTACTGGATGTGACACAGAAGCCACACAGCAAGTAAGCAGCCCAAGCCACACTCACCACCAGAGAGGCCCACACAGCACTCCTGGTAAAGTAATTGCCAGCAGCAGCATCCTCCAGTCTCTGATGAAGTATGCAAACAGAGGCAGCACCATGAAGCCAAGTGCAAAAAATATGCAAACTCCTAAGGTGGCGAATATAATTCGAACTGACTTGGAAAGAATTTCTGTTCCTGTTCAAAACAAGGAAGGAGTCCAGTTAATCATTAATTAGGGTTATTTCCTTATGAATCTTCTGTGATACCATTTTTAACATAGAGACAAGGAGGCAGCCAGAGTTAGCTCTGTGTTTGGAGTCTCTAGGGGTGGGAGGCTACAACTGAACTAAGTCTTCTCTGATTTTCTCCCAGGGTGTTTCTCTGAGGTCTCTAGGCCTCTTATGAAAACATCATCACCGCACTCAGACACATGCTAAAGAGCATTAGACCCCTGTAAGTCCTTACACAAGGAAGAATTAACAAAATGCAAAGTCATTACTAAAACCACACAAGCTAAGTCAGGCCAGAAGAGAACTGGACATCAGAAGTTGGAACCACTGTCAGGCTCAACTTCCCATCTGGTAAACTAGATTTACATTATTTAATAAGGAATTCTAGCTACAAGAGATATCACAGCTTGTCTCCAGTAAAGTGAAACACAATATCTAGGACTAAACTTCAACCTGATGTCCATACCCAGGACAAATGCTGTCAGGTAGTTGGATATATGTCCCATTCCAGCAAGAGTAAAGAGCAGAGTAAACATCTCCAAGTTCACAGAGAAGACTTGTATGAAGCTGAATCCAGTGTGCATGGCCATGGTCAAAAACAGCACATTCTTGCGACCAAACCTGGAGAGAAAAGGAGGGTCACAGAGAAACAGCTGGGAGAGGCAGCAGCCACTGGCTCCACTGAGGGGCTGACTCCCAACACGGGGACTGGCACCAGGGTAGTCCCACCCTCTCAGTTTCCATGCGGACATTGAATTCCATACTTTCCAGGATGAATGTGTAGTCTGGACACTCAGGCTGCCTCAAAGGCAGTGCCACAATGATGCTAATGACTGCAGAGGATGGAAAGGCATTTGTTATGTATAAATCCACATATCATAATAATTTTTAAAGAAAAATACACATAAAAAACCTTAAATGTATATTATGTATCAGTTTGACTTTTATAACAGTATAATCCCTCACAAATTATAAAATTAACTGCACTTATTTACATTTTAAAGATGATTTGAAAAAAACATGACAGAATATTTCATATACTTGACACAATGAAACAGTCACACATATATTTTGATGAACATAAAACAGTCACATGTAGGTAACATTCAGAAGCAAAATATTTATCAAGAAATGGGTCAAACCTGCAATGTGTTAAGAAACATGCCTGGTAATTGTGTGCACTGTTTTATTACTTTAGTCAGCTGAAGCAGCCAAGATGGATAACCTGAGTCTTTCTTCTGTGGTACCAGGGCCGGAAGCCTAGTTCTAGGCCTGTATTCTACTATTGCAGTATATCCCAGTTCACAATTCTAACCTTTTTGTTTTATATTTTCTTTCACTTTTATTTATTGGGGTGCATCCATGTGGAGATCAGAGGACAACTTATAGGAGTTGATTCTTTCCATCAACCAGTTGAGTACTGTGGACTGAAGTCAGTTCATTGTGCTTGGTAGCAAACACAGTTACCTGTTGAGAAGGTAAAAGATCACCAGCCAAGCAATCTAACTTTATTTTTGAGTTAATTTTGTTTTCATTTTAATTTTATTTTATGCGTACCAGTGTCTTGCTTGCACATATGTCTGGGCACTATATGCATGCTTGGTGCCCTCAGAGGCCAGAGGAGGGGATTAGATCCCCTAGAACTGGCATTAGGTTGTGAACATATATGTAAGTGCTGGAAATTGAACCCAGGTCCTTCAAGAGCTGCCAGTGCTCTCAACGTCTGGGTGATCTCTCTGACCCCCAATATAACTCTTGGGGATCAAAAAACCCAACAAAAAATAAAGAAACCCAACAACAACAACCAAAGATCTGGAGAAATGTTTATCTTTCACAAGGACAGATGTACAAAAAGTACATCTTTTCATTTATTGAGGATGTTTTAAATTATTAGCACAATAGTTACATACAAAATTGATGTTGGGATAATGTATTTTCATGGAACCAAATATTCACAAAATGCACAAAATAAAAAAGCCTATATATAATCTATATGCCTAGAATTGGAAACTATGCAGATATGACAGCTATAGCATAATGAATTATAGAAAAAATACTTGTAATTCAAAAAATTTGAACAAATAGGTATAGTTCAACAGCAAACTGCATGTTGAACATACACAAGGACCCGGATTAAATTTCCATCACAAATGAAATGAAAACAAAAACAACTACGAAAAGAAGACCCAACACACAAAAATGTATATTATGGGAACAGATTACGGGCAACTGCACAAAAGCTGCAGAGGAACCCGGCATCATTACCTACAGTGAAGACTGCTGTCTCTGCTAAATTAGCATGTTTGCTTTCTTCAGTCATGGTTCTTTTTGGAGAATAGGTTCACATGCACTGTCTACATGGTGGACCTTCTCCTAAGTCCATGCAGACTCACACACTTTGTAAAGCATTCTCTGATACACCTGAAATAACGCTTTTTTGGGTTTCTAGGCATCTGTTCTGACTAATGTGTTTCAGTTTTCCTGAGTACCACAAAGCACGTATCAGTCCCTTCCTGAGATACAGCTTTCTATTTTCTTTACATCCGTCTTTACAAAGGGAATCTCAGTTTGGAGGCTCTCTCTCTCTCTCTCTCTCTCTCTCTCTCTCTCTCTCTCTCTCTCTGTGTGTACACACATGCCCATGTGCATATATGTGTGTATGTGTTCTCCTGTGCACATGTGTGTCAATCTCAGTGTCATTGTTCACACGCTGTCTACCTCATTTTAAGACAGGTTTCTCACTGGCATCTAGAACTCACCCACTAGGCAAGGGTGGCTTGTCAATAAGCTCCAGAGAGCCTCCTGTTCCTGCCCTTCAGTCGCTGGGATTACAAAGGCCTGGCATGCCACCCTGATATTACACGGGTGCTGGGGACTGAGCACGGAACTTCATGGTTGTGGGCCAGGTCTTTACTGACTGCTATTTCCCCAGGTTCAGGATTCAGAACTTTAAGTTTCTGTTTGTGATTTGGAGCAGTTTTAGGCTTTAGGGTTTGTTGCTTTGAACTATCCCTCCACCAATTATGACTGGCACTGCTATGGAAGTGGTTACTCATGGGCAAACACTGGGCGGGCTTCTGAGGCAACAAAATTCTTTAGCCTGACTTGCAGTTGTTGTCAGGCCACCTCCATTTTGGTTGAACTGTGACAATGACAGAATCAAAGTAATTTAGTTTCCAGAACTAAAGTAAACTTGTTTCTCTACATTCTTACCCTCCCCAACCTTAAAGATTCCCTCAGTTATGACCTGTCAAGAGAGATGTTCTTCCATCACCTGCATTCTTGAACTTATCACTCTCTGATTACTCCTAGTAACAACCAAGTATGGGCTAAAAAGGCAACCTTTCAACCTCCTCCCCAGACTATGGGATTGCACTGAAATTGCTATGAAAAGTGTAGAAGGGACACCACTGTGCCACATGGGCCAGAACTCTTCTCTGAACTCTTGCTATGCTGCTGTTGGCCAGCCTATGACGTTAACTATTTTAATAATCCCAACACGCAAGTCAACCTGAGGGAAAGCAGAGCTTCTACTTGATATTGGTCTCAGCTGGCTCACACCATGCACATTCAAGAATGCTTACTCTCATATTAAAAACTGGAAATGTTCTGCCCTCAAGAAGGAACTGGCTAGTTGGATAGGCAATAGTAACCACATTTTAATTAACTATGCTACTGGACACACACACCATTAAACACTGAGACAAGTGGATAAAAGAAATGGTCTCCAGGTCCACAGAGACACATTAAGGAAGTCAGACACTAAGGGTAGGTACTGGTCACTATGTGATGATCTCTCTGACAATGGGGCACTGATGAGGTCCAAAGAAAAAGTAACTGATGCCAATGGGGAAGCATTCAGTCTAGAATGAGAGACCATTATTAATCCTATGATATCACTTTCCACTACCTAATTTCTCTTTCAAGCTATGAAGTCCAGAAACTGAGGTAATGGAAACTGCCACCGTGAGCCATTCGTGTGGCCAAGAGATAGCATTACATGGAAAGAAGAGTCAGATTCTCAGCATATATACTGTGGCTGGTGAGCATGTATATGTGTATGTGATTAACTCAGGGCTTTAGTGAAAGGCATCAGCTGCCCAACAGGACTTTGCAGGAAGAAAGGAGCCAAACTGCAAAAAGGCTTTGTGGCTACTAGCTAGTGAAGAAGGAGACTCCGATTTGCTTGCACTGGTTTGTATGGAGAGGATGCTACAAGTCCAAGGCAGTCTAGTGTAAGCTCTATCCTCCTCCCTTCCAAAGGCTGCTCAGGACAACAGTGATCTGGGGAACACTTTCAGATCACTGCCTTCCCTTCCAAAGGCTGCTCAGGACGACAGTGATCTGGGGGACACTTTCAGATCACGTCTCTTTGGCAGCTGGAGGTTGGAAAGAAAAAAAACCCTTGTTTTTGATTTTTGGGTTTTAAAAAAATATGTTTGTTTTGTTTTTAAACAGTGTCTTACAAATAGCTAGGCTACCCTCAAAGTCTACCCTTCTGTTTAGCCTCTAGTGCCTGGATTATAGGTATGCACAACCATGCATAGACCAGAAAAACCTCATTTTGAACTTTACTTTTTAATTTATTTTATTTTGGGTGAGGGGTGAGAGGTTAGGGTGTAGGAGGGTGAAGTAGGAGTGCATGTGGTAGTCAGAGAACAACTTGCTAGAGATGGTTCTCTCCTTCTATCATGTGAGTCCCTATGACAGAACTCAGGTGGTTGAGCTTGGTGGCAAATATCTTTATTCAGAACAATCTCTTCCACCCACAGACCTAGTTTGGTCATTTTTAAAGACTGTCAACAAAATGGCAAACATACATATTTACAAAACCAGAAAATGTCAATCTACTTCTTCCCAGTGTTGTGCCTCTCATAATCCATAAAGCTAGCTTAATAATTTCAAAAAGTCAGGACAACGTGCCAGATGGTGGTGCCTTTAATTCCAGGCAGGCAGATCTGTAAATTCAATGACACACTGGTCCTTGTCTCCACCTGAGTCTCCAGACCTCAACCACAGTGGACTTTTTCTATTCCTAAGCCTCTGGTCTAGACTTTAACAATGGTGGTTTTTCCTGCCCAGAATCTTCTTCTCTCCACCTTTTTGACACCAAATTTCTACTCATCTTTCAACTCTCAGCTCATGCTTTGCTTCAGTAAACCCTCCCCTGAGCCCTGATGGACACGTCCATGGCACTCTGACCTTCCCTGGTACCATTTCCCATGGCCAAGGAAACACCCATTTCTTCAATAAGTTCAATCTATCTATCTATCTGCTTTGCTAAAAGGCAAAGCTCAAGGTGAGCAGAGATCTTCAGCAATAGTCCAGAAAACCAGAGGAGCAAGGAGCCCTGGGCCTCCATATAACCTGCCACTTGCTGACCACACACCCCGGCACATAAATTAACCATTGTGTTTTACTTGCCCCATTTACAAAATGGAAATAACAGTTCCTGTCAGAGGAGTGTGAGGATATGGTTACCTATTTGGTTTTTAAGGTGTGCTGTACTTAGAACAGAGATTGGCACATATTACATGCTACATATTTGCTAAATAAACAGAAGAAATCAATTAATGCTTGTTACTAGATTAAGAGAAGTATCATTCCCCAACAGGGAGTTACCTCAGGCTCATCCAGAGGTGGCGATCTTATGGTCACAGCCTACTGACATCTTTATTTTAAAAATTTTTTCAGTTTTTTTGAAACAGGTTTTTTTTGTGTAGCTCTGGCTGTTCTAGAACTCACTGTATATACTAGGCTGCTTTCAAACTCAGAGAACCACATGCCTCTGCTTCCTGAGTGCTGGTACTAAAGCAGTGTACCACTAGACCTGACATCCTATTGACATCTTTAGTGTACCCTGGTGGCAGTTCAGTATCTTTGTTTTTAATCACGACTTTTGAAAAATGAACCTCATGAGATATGCAGTTATGTACGTTTTCATTAGCTGAGAGTGGTGGTATATCCTTGTACTTCTAGTATCAGGAATGTGATCCAGGAGGACTGCCATACATTTAATGTCATCCTGGATTACACAGCAAGTACTAGGTCAGCTTGGGAAATGTCAGGAGCGACCCTGCTTAATCATTAACTCCTTACAAAGTCTTGGCCTCTGTGGGAAAGTACTAACCCTAGAACAAATAATCATAGATCTTATGGACAGGTAGCCTTGGTGGGAAAGTACTACCTTAGATAAGAACAAATGATCAATAAATCTTATGGACAGGTACATAGTGACCTGTTCCACTCTGCTGCTTTTGTGAACTCTTCACGCAGCCAATATCCTGTTCTGGAGAACATCTGTACTCCCCCTGAGAACACCTGTGCTCCCCAGAAACGAAGAAGACTCTACATCATCCCCTCCCCATATCCTGCTTCTATGTGTATATAACTCTGTGTGGAAAAATTAAAATTTGACAGCTTGATCAGACTTTCAGACTTGCTGTCGGTTTCTTGCGTACCCTTGCTCCCTAGTTCTCTCTTCCAGGTCTTCTGATCCCAGTTCAATGCCCCATAGGTCTGGAGCAGGGAAAGACCCTGTATTGAGGAAAAAAAAGCACCCACAAAAAACAAGGGCCAGCAAGATGGCTCAGTGGGTAAAGTACTTTCTGTGTAAGCATCATGAATTCAGTTGGATCCCTGGAACTAATATCAAAAGGATTTCACTGTATTCTCCTGATCACCAAATGAATATTTTTGCATGCATACCTCTACCCCACCGTACATATAAAAAATAACAAATACAAATTTACAAAACAACAAACAAAACCCCCAAATTTTGACTAATGATGTGAGAATGATCCATAGATGTAAACATGCAATAATATAACCCTGAGAGTATGTGGCAGAGAAAAGCAGTTTTGCTTCTCAGACAAATTGACATTTTGTCTCAGCTTGGACTTCTCTACGTACCCCTACTTGGCCAGAAGGATACTGCAGCAGCCTCTACTGCAGTGGTTCTCAACCTTCCTAATGCTGGGGCTCTTTTCATATGGTGGTGATACCTCATCAATGCATTACTACTTCAAAAATGTTATTTTGTTACTGTTAAGAATTGTAATATAAATATCTGATATGCAGAATCTGATATGGGACCCCTGTAAAAGGGGTTTCGACCCACAAGTTGAGAACCCTGTTCTCCTGGGTCTAGGAGTATCCTATCAGTGTCACCATAGCCAAGGATCTGTTGAAGTCCTCTCTGCTGACCTCAGCTGTCTGTGATAGATCCCAAAGCTCCAATGAAAGGGACTTAGCATAAAGAATCTTCTGAGAATTTCAAAAAAGCTATGGACCTTGATGAAATAACAATAAAGACAACAAACCCTCATAGACAATCTCTAATTTTATTGTTGCCTTTGGTTGCTGAGGCAGATTCTCCCTAAGTAGCCCAAGATGACTTTGAACTCTCAATCCTCTGGTCTCAGTCTTCTGAGTACTAGGATTAGAGGTGTGCATCCCGACCCATTACTTAAATTTCAAGGATGCTTTGATTTTTCTGAGCCATTAATGGACTTTAGTTAAAAGCTTTAAAATTGTACAATACTATGTTTGTAACAAATAACATTGACTCTCTTGGTCACACAGTAAATGCCATAACCACAGACCACTTTGTGAAAGGACACTAGAGTTCTGCTTCCCACAGTACTTCTCTCACCTTGCTCAGAGAGTAAGCAAATACAGAAGTGGCCACCATGGTATTGCCTAATGTACAATACAGTGCATCTACAAATGTGTAGAGTCAATCTCTCTCTTCCTCAGAGATAGGAGAGTGGTATAATCTCCTAGGGAAAGTGATTCAGACTAGTACAGAAATGAATCATGACAAAATAACTGGTCATTGGACTGGGGGTACACATGGCTTGACGACTCAGGTTTCTCTGTTCAGTAAGGATTATGAAATGATGTGGGAGGTCGTTGGCCCATTTTACTTGATATGGAGTCTATGCTAGACATAGCTGCTGCTGCTTCTGAAATGCATGGCCCTGGGCTAAGAGAACATCATCATTTGAAGTCAAGTCCAGGTATGTACTCCTTGATCAGTGCTGGACATCTTACCTGTCTGAGAGCTGTCCCGAAATGAAGGAGCCTAAGAGCACACCCACGTAAAAGAAGGAGGTGGCGAGTGGGGCCTTCCAGTCATCCTTACACACCAGGTCCCACTGTAGGAGGAGCAAAGGGATGCATCACTCATTCCTTTTCTGAAATTTAAGGCTTCTTGGACAATGAATTGGCATACCCTACATCCCCAAATGTTCTGACTATAGGAACTCGCTGATCTGGGCAATGACTTACCTGGGCAGCAATGTAGAGAAAGCAGGTGGCCTCTCCCTTTTCACCTTGTCTTTCATGGAGTAGGATCCCATGTCTTGGTTCAATTTAAGGAGGGGAGAAGGGCAAACAACAGCAATCTACCAAGCCAGACATTGATCTCTGGTCAGCAATGCTTTTTGTGCATGCTTCTGAGGATGCCAAGGGCTGTGAAAGAGGCAAGGTACTCTTTTGGGGGTAGTCTAAGAGGCAAAGCATCCAGGAAAAGATAGAGGCCACAGGGCTGACAGTGTTCTGTCTAGACCTACTCCATCAGCTCTGCTTGGGCTCCCATCAAGGCAATAGCCCTTAAGTCCCTGTGATATTCTAAACTGGAATATCTGATACCACACTCCAACAGGACTAAACTCAGTAGGCCTTGGAGCTCTGGTCTGGGAGTCTGGAAGCTGGGTGTTAACTGCTACTTTAGTATTAACAGGTTTATAAGGCCCTACTCATCACACTGATCAGAGCTTTATTTCCTTGTCTAGAAAACAGAGATTGGGGCAGAAAATAGGCTTTTCTGCTTGCATTTCCACAATTCAAAATGTGGTTCCACTGCAGTTACCACAACCAGGAAGTGATCTGTGCAGGGAAGAGTGGGGTACATGGGGAAACGGTGACACTTAGATACTTAGATGTCTCAGCCCAATATGGAGCTGGAAGTCTAGCAGACAGTCCAAACAGGGACTTCAGTGGTTCCCAGAAAGATACTGCTTGGTCAGAGACTGTGTACAGAAGGAAACTTTGCGGACCTTAGCAGACGTCATGCATGGAAGGTTGTAGGAAGTAAGTTTCCTGGAGATGCCCTACTGTTTTGTATGGCTGCGATGGGTATGCTCCGGAGGGGCATGAACCCCAGATTCATTAACTTCATCCCAAGATTGCTTCTCACTGCTGATATGCCTTTCCTGCCATTATTACATAGGCTAATGATTCCTAGGTATTGGCCCACTCTATTGGGCAAATTTCCTGCAGATCAACATGAAGATGAACTTTCATTGAATTAATGCTGTTTAGATGTATTAATGATTTTACAGAATTCCTGATTTGACTCAAATAATTTTAGCAAGGTAGAAAGTTTAAGAAGATAGTTTTAGTTGTTTTGCCAGAAAAATATAATAAAGTTAGAATCAAGAATAGAATGTGTCCCTCCTCATAGAATAGTAGGTAAAGGCTACATGAAAAAGAGCCTTTTCTTTTGGATTGGCTTCAATCCTCAACACTGCACACACCAGGTATGGTGGTTCATGTGTGTAATCCCTGAAGTGGAAACTTAAGGGTTTTTTTTTGAAAGTCGGCTGCATGGTGTTTTGCTGGGGCAAACACATGAAGGAGTGTTTTGTTAAAGTGGACACAGGAGTGAAAGGCTAAGACAGATTCATGAAGGAATGTTTCAATGAAGCAGACACAGGAGAGAGGATGTTCTACTAAAGCAAGCACATGAAAAGACATGTGATAAAGGATTCTTTGCTGATGACACATATGTGTTGGTCTGCCTTACACTGTGTAGTTGAGCTGCATTTGTTGAGACTCCATAGAGAGAAACGCGCCAAAAAAACTTCTGGTGGTATACAGCAGTTTGTTGCTGCTTCCAAGAACTAGGGCTGATTGGATGTACATGCTGAGGCAAGATACCTGCTGAGGCAAGGCATGTGATGATTAGAGGGTATAAATAGGACTCCAAGAAGTGACAGAGCATGGCTTATTGGTACAGTTAGCTGTGAAATGCTTGTGGGTCTTATGTCTTTGCTGATCTTCACTTCCCTGAGAGAGGCACAGCTGAGAACTTCTCCTGGTGTTCCTGTTGGTCCCTCCTGCTGACTCTAGCCGAGGCTGGGGCCTGGCTGTCTCTGCTAGGTCGTGTCATCACTGTTACTAACCAGACTCTACTGAACTGGACTGCTGGTGTATCCGTGAAGTGTTTGCAAGTGGATCGAGCTGCTGCTGCTAACCTGTGAACTGAACTGCCAGTTTCCAGACAACCCAGACAGGAGTTGCACCAAAGAGCCTTTCTGAACAGACCCACTTCCCCTATATCCTTTCTTTTCTACTACCTCTGGTGGGTGGTGGGTTACAAGGAAGGGTAAAGCATTTAAGAGCTATCACTAAAATAGGATTTGAAAAAAAATTAAAGTAACAAATCCCAGCTCTTGGGAAGAAGGATCAGAATGTCAATATTCAAGGTCTGGTAGATGCCATGGAGGAGGAGCTGCAGTGGGCAAGTGAGTTTCCTGGAGATGCCCCACTGTTTTGTACAGCTGCAATGGGTGAATTCTGGAGAGGCACAGCCCTAGGAACTTTGTCCCAGGATTGCTTCTTGCTACCAATGTGCCTTCTCATGTTTCTCATTGCTATATTCCTCATATATAAGGCACAGGCATGGTATTATTACTTCCTGAATGATAGCCCATTCTGTTGGGCAAGTTTCCTGCAGATCAGCATAAAGATGAATTTTCCTGAGATAATGCTGTTTAGATCAATTAATGATTTTGTAGAATTCTGGATGTTATTGAAATAGTTTTAGGAAGTTAGTTGATTGAAAGTTAAAGGAGATGGTCTAAGTTGTTTTTCTAGAAAGATATAATAAAGTTAGAATTAAGAGTAGAATGTGCCCCCTCCCGTGTAGAATAGTGAGGGCTACATATGTTAGAAAAGGAGTACAGTGAGCTTTTATGTGTTACAAACATGTAATTTTACTAGAGAGAAAAGTAGGCTTGGGACCAGTTAAATGATCAAAGAAAACATTTCATTCTGTATTGGGTCTGAGTTCCCAGGTCTTGTGACCTATAGATATGGCTGCAGGTTTTGCTGTGCAACATGAAAAGATAGGGTTATAAATAAAGAGTAAATAATTCTATTATAAGTATAAAAATAAAGGGTAAATGATTAGCCAGTTTAGCTGAACTAGACTATGTTGAAAATACTATGTAAGATAGATGATGACCTATTTCTTGGTAAATACAAATTGTCATCAGCTAAGCATATGAAAATACAAATTGTCATCATAGCATAATGCGAAATACATTTAGTCCAACTTCACAAGTCCCATAGTCTATAACAGTCTCAACAATGTTAAAAGTTCAGTCTCTTCTGAGATTCATCTAATCACTTAACTAATCTCCTCAAAAATTAAAAAACAGATTACATATTTCCAACATCACAGGATATACATTACCATTCCAAAATAGTCAGAATACTGGACCAAAGCAAACCAAAAAACCTGTTGGGCAAACTCCAAACTCCGCATCTCCATGTCTGATAGTAAAGTGCTTTCGTATTTCCAACTCCTTTCATCTTTGTTGACTGCAACAAACTTCTTTCTCTTGGGCTGGTTCCACTCCTTTAGCACCTTTACTCAGCAGGTACTCCATGGCTTGGGCATCTCTAGTATCTTGGGGTATCCAAGGCAACTTAAACTTTATACCTTCTTGTTCTAATGTCTGGGATCCACACATGATCTGAGCTTCTCTAAAGGGCTTGGGTCACTTCTTCAACTCTGCCCTCTGTAGTACTTTAGGCTCTGGTTGACTCCACCCCACTACCAGTGCTGTTCTTGGTAGTCATCTTATGGTACTGGCATTCCCAATATGCTAGGTCTTCTGCTGCAACTAGGCTTCACCAATAGCTCTCTTCATGGTGCCAAGCCTCGACTTCTTTGCATTATCCCTTCATTCCTGGGCTGTCAACTGCAAGTAAGGCTGCACCTTCACCAATGGCTTTTCCTGGTCTCTCACAGTGCCAAGCCTCAGCTGCTCTCCATGACACTTCATGCCTTCAAAACTAGTACCATCTGGGTGATTGATTCTTATACATTACCAAGCCTAGCTGAAGCATGAGGTACAACGTTGGCTATTCCTGGAACACAGCTTCTTTATGCTCTCAGAAAACCCTTCCCAGATTACACCTCAGTGATGCTGGTCTCTCCTTCTATCACCATTTTGCATCTTAAAAGATTCATGAAGGGCTTGTCTTCTGGGCCTTTTCATTGTGGAGGAGTAGATTTTACACAACGATTCCACACTAGCATTGCAATTTTCCTAAGCCTTAAAATTCCTTCATCAACACTAAGCAAGGAATATCAGACATCTCCAACTCCTTTTCAGTAGGCCATCTTTTGAGAAACACTTCAGCCAACCATTCAAACTTCTGACACATTTTTATAACTTGTGAGCTTCCATATTAAACCTAGAATCTCAACTCAGAGGCCCATATCAATAAACTCAGCCTGATCTAGTTTTATGTTTCTTCCACCATTATCCCACATCCTTAAAATTCAATCTCACGGCCTGAGTTTCCGGTGGTTCCGGGCTCTTGGTGTTCCCGGCGATGTCTTGGTTTCGAGCGGCTTCAGAGATCCCAAGCCCCGTAGACCAGGACGTGTTTGACGAGGAAGCGGACGAGTCTCTGCTAGTGCAGCGGGAATGGCAGGGTCACATGCGGAAACGAGTCCAAGTAAATGGACGGGACCTGGGACACGCGGGGAAAGGGGCCCCCACGTGGGACACGGGCTCCCGCGAACAGGGGCACGCAGAAGGAAGCCTGGGCGGGGGAGTAGGCTCTCTGACCGAGCGCGCCCCAACGGTGCCTCCGTCTTAGGATTTCCCAGTTGTTTATTGATAACTTTTAAAACAGGCGCGTTCATTCTGAGCCCCAGCCGGGTTTGGAGCAGGGGCACTGATCGACCAAACGTGAACTTTATTCAGTCCCTCGAGAGTTTGTAGTTCGGGGAGGAGAAGAGCTGAGGAGGAGACACACCCACTAGCCTAATGGCCGGCAGAGAACGCAGATTCACATTTGTTCAGTGGGTGGAGAGTCCACAGTTAGGCGTGGTGTTTACAGAGGCTTGGAA